GCGGATCTAAAGAACATATTGGAGATGTCATCGGAAAATAATAGGGACTCCTTGAAGGTACTTGATTCTGCGTTGTTGACTAACACGTATATTGAAAGATTAATTCCTCATGTTTGGATAAGCGATTTCTGAGAATGTACTTAATTACCCAAATATTCCAAGAAACTACATAGAATTTGCTTATCGTAATCGCGTTTTTTGGGGGTTTTGAATATGCATACCTTTAATAATTTTTTCGAACCAAAATGCATAAATAACAATTTTTACGTTCTTCATCATAATAGAGAGAAAAAGATCACCTTCAAACTATCGAGACGGTAAAGCAATTTTTAGAGAAAGATGGGCCGGAACTTCAGGAGAAGCTTAAAAGTTATGCTAATGATAAATCCAGTTATATCGAAGAATTTTGGTATGACTCTTACCTCAACTACACCGATCCGGTTGTTCTTAATCTGAACCCGTTCTTCGTTCTGGAAGATGATCCCACCCCTGCTAGAAATAACCAGATAGAACGCGCTGCTTCATTGATTCTATCTTCCTTAAAATTCATACAAGCATTAAGAACCGAAACTCTGGAACCTGACGTGTTTAGGGGAACGCCCCTTTGTATGTCACAGTACCAACGTATGTTTGGAACGGCTCGCTTGCCGACCGAAAATGGATGTAGAATGGACACTGATCATGAATCAAAACACATTGTTGTCTTATGTCGTAGTCAATTTTACTGGTTTGATGTGTTAACAGAGAATAATGAAGTCGGAATTGACAAAAAAGAACTGGCCGCCAATCTCAGAACCATAAAACAGGATTCACTTGGTATGCCCGTTGTTGAAATCGCCAAAAATGCAGTGGGAATTCTTTCCACAGAAAATCGCAAAGTTTGGGCGGATCTAAAGAACATATTGGAGATGTCATCGGAAAATAATAGGGACTCCTTGAAGGTACTTGATTCTGCGTTGTTTGTTGTCTGTCTAGATGAAGGATCACCTTCTTCGGGTGATGAACTTGCGACGAATATGCTTTGCGGTACCTATGAGATAAAGGAAGGGGTACAGGTTGGGACATGTGCAAACCGGTGGTATGATAAATTACAGATTATTGTCTGTGAAAATGGATCGGCTGGGGTCAACTTCGAGCACACTGGTGAGGGACATACACAATAATTTTTTGAATTCTTAAAAATTCTTTGACACAGCAGTAGTAAATTGAATCATTATTCTGAAGGTGTTGATGGTCATACCGTTTTACGTTTCGTTTCGGACATCTACACTGACACAATACTACGCTTCGCCCAATCCATAAACAATAATACCAAATCCTTATTTCATTCGATGCCTGGGAATTCTCGTAGTAATAGACATCATGACGACCATTGTCAAATCGAGATCACACCCAAGAAGCTAGAGTGGACTATAATTCCCGAAGTCCGATTTGGGATAAGATTTGCCGAGACAAGATTAAGTGATCTCATTTTACAGAATGAAGTTCAAGTTCTAGAGTACACAAACTATGGAAAAAGTTTCATTACAAGTTGTCGGTTGAGTCCTGACGGATTCGTGCAGGTAAAAAATGGTTTCGACCTTGTCAAGCTAACGCCATCCATGTTCTAAACATATTTCACCCAATTGCCTATAGATGGCTTTCCAAGCTGCCTATTATGGTCTATATGGATCGATAGAATGCACTTATGAACCTGCGATGACCAAGTCCTTCCTTCATGGCCGTACCGAAGCGATTCGTCCAGTTACAGCAGAATCAGTCGAATTTGTAAGGCTTTGGTGGTCTGAAACACAATCCGATAAACTCAAAGCTCTACGCAAGGCAATTAACGCGCATGTAAACTTAACAAAAACGTGCGCAAAAGGTTTGGGTCAAGACAGACACTTGTACGCATTACAATGTGTTTGGCAAAGAGAAGTTGGAAAAAATTCCAATGAGGAGATGCCTGCTATATTCCGAGACCTTGGTTGGCAAACATTAAACCATACAGTAGTTAGTACAAGTAATTGTGGTAACCCGTCTCTAAGGTTATTTGGATTTGGTCCTGTGGTGTCGGATGGTTTTGGTATTGGTTATATTATCAAGGATGATGCCATTGCTGTAAGTCATTCAACATGATATAGGGGATCGAGAGTAAAACATGGGTACCATATTATGATGCCTTCTTCACCAGCTATTCCATGCGTTTAATATTGGATAAAATGGATAATTTGGTGTTCATGCTTTACCCTTGTAAAATCTTACGTAATCCAATAATATTTGATTAATAACCCATTGTTATTTATTCATCCTTAGTTTTGTGCATCGTCCAAGCATAGACAAACACGCCGTTTCCTCCAAACGTTGGAAAACTATCTTAACGACGTGCATTTGCTTCTGCGTTCAGGTTTGACGCGCAACAGACAAGACACTGAGAACATCAGCATGCTCTCGGGATATGGATACTTTGATGCCGGAAGTATTGATCAATTGTTTGAACATCGGTTAGATGAAAAGAGAGAGGGGATGAAAAGGGTTGGAAAGGAGTTAAAATTGGTTGACTATTGAGGCTTTATTATTAATTTTTTAGGTGGGACGGGATTTATTAGACAAGTTTAACTATTTATTATGCTAATATATATATCGATAATTAAGGTTAGCGTGTACTTAGACGTCGAAAATAAGCACCCTTTTACTAGATAACTGGAAATATCGTTTTTGATTAGATCGCTGATCTTGATTTTTTAAACATATATAATGCGCAATGTAAAATTCTAGTTTCCTCTTGCTCAATATACACGTCACATATACATATGGCTGTCTCTTCAACTGCGAATGTGAGTTTTATTTCTACCAGCCTCGAACGCGATCTCGGTTGCTTCAAATGCAGCACAGCATAAACAATACGTTAAACTAATTCTAGGTAGCTCGGTGGTCCGCGCTAGTTCTTGGTATTACTTATGGTTTTTGGCACCAAAGTTCACTGGTAAAATCAGAACAAGCGAAAGCAACGATAGAAAATTATCACCACAAGGAGGAATTAATTAGGAAGGCAAAGGCTGCCTACGCTGCACAGCAGGCCGCTAAAAATCCAACAAAAGGTATTTTTTTTTACTTTCTTTTAGAATCATGACGAGCAATGCGTTTTTATTTACACCTCCCTGCTTTTGAAATTCTTCCACGCATTTCACTGAGCACTTCTACTCTATTTCATTATAGTTGTTACAGATCCGAATGATCCCGCATTTGATTTAGAAAAACTCATCATCTACTACGGTACACAAGAGGAACTTTAAAGCTTTATGAATCTTGATTACAGAAACCTTTCCGTATTGTATTAGAAAAAAGGAAAAAATAAAAATGCTAGTCACTGTCTTTTCTTCGGAAGGTGTCAAAGCACGTTACGTGGTTAATATCTGTTATAACTTTAATATCAATTTCCGGATTGTCTGACCACAAGCTGAAAGAATGAAAATTCCCTCTTCTATTTAAATAAATTGAATCTAAGTTATCGTTTTTTTAGGGAACTATTTGGAGATGTATCGATCATAGATTCCTTTTCAAAATTTTAATTTAACATTTGGACATCGCAGTCGTGTTACCGCAACATACTTTCCTCACCTCAAAATCGCCATTATCTTTCATGTTGGAATTTGTCTATCATCGATTAACTGAAATTTTTAATGACCACAAAAATAATTATTGTAAAAAGGCATAATGTGCAATTATTATCTATGAACAAGAGAATTACCGATGATACTATTTTAATCAGCCATGTCCTACCCAACTCTCTCATGAAGGTTTACGCAAAGACCATGTTAACAACGGCGTTTGATAAACCTGCCTCTTCAACTGTCTGATCAACTTTATTAATAAGATTATCACTATAGCATACCAGCTGTCGGATGATAAAAGCTTATTAGTACTGACTTAGATTAAATTTTAATGATGCATCTAATTACACACTTCAAATGGTTGTTCCTGAGCTTCGGGAACAGAAACCTTGATATATTCAAACAAATATCGCACAGGATCAGTCTTTCCAAAGCGCCTAATAACAGTTTTCCCACCTTCAATCAAGTGATTTCAATTTGTTAACACATATAGACGAGTCAGAATTATTTAACAATAGTAATAGTGAAATCTGTTAAACCTGCGAGACGAAATTTTATTGTTGTTGCATTGGGTCCTTGAACTTGAGTCCTTTCCACAGGGCGAATGGAATCAAACACTGATACGGATGAGGTTCCTTCTGAAATATTAATCGTTCGTTAAATTTCAAATTAAATAAAACGCGCGAAAGAATAAAGAATTTCACGCATCATACCATCTTTCGGCGATGTTTCCACCTGATCTTCTTCCATATCCTCGCTCCTTGATTCTTGATCGACTAATTCGTCTTCAGGTTCAACAGACGAGATCGAAATAGTGTCTGATTGTTGATTTTCGGTCGTTGACTACCGGCATAGTTATGAGCACTTATAATTCATCGATGCCAAAAATTTGTGATAGAAAACTCTTCGACTTACTTTCTCGATTTTCTTTGGTGTGTTTCCGCTCAATGACCAACGTTCTAGGAAATCCGTCACTACCGAGTGAAAAATAATGTTTCCATTTCTTTTTTTTTAGCGATTGTCACGTAAAATTATCAAGAAATTTAGGTACCGACCAGCTATTAGGAAGTCGCTCGGCGGCACCACAGAACTCCAAATTTTCATTCTTTCACCTGAACAAAGTAATGAATAAATACTTAGCCGTGAACTTGCCATTATGACAATTGAATCAGATATAACGAACCCGTTCTCGGATCAATTATTGCTATATGAGGATAATGGTCAAATGGATAAAAATTTATGTAACGTCGTCCCTCGGTGGAATTCGAATCAAACTGGTGAAGGTCCGGAATTAGAAAATATCTTTAAAACTTTGGAAAGAACTTTATTACATACCTGTAAGAAAAGAAAATGTTCCCGTATAACATCCTTAACGGTCTTATCGCTCCACAGATCCCGATTGAGCTGGAGGCAGCGAAACTCCGAACCTTCTTGAATATCAACCATTAACCATTTCTGTTTATTACGGGCTTCATTCCGTGTCTAAAGAAACAGAAGCGATTATAGATCACCGAATATATCGATCACGTGCCCATCCTAACAGTTACCCTGTCAAAATTTTCTTTACTCATAATATCAAAAGGGGGTCTGTATATATCGGCTAATCGAGTTGTCTCGGTTAAATCTTCTGAAAGAATAATGGTTTTTGGAGATTTACTAACCACCAAAATATCGTTCAAAATCGATTTGCTTACAAAATGATATAACATGTACCCGAAGAGTTCATAGATACTTCGCCAGCAAAATTTCGATATGGCTCACGTGAGACTCGAGGGCGTGGTATGAATCTTCTGTCTAACATCAAATTTAAAAACAAGATACGTTACAACTTGCCATTAGACTCCAAAAATAATCAAGGAAAAGAAATGAATCGTTCCTGACCTCCCATAAAATTCCCATAATCATTATTGCCAACTAAAATTTCGCGTTTAGGCGCGATGGGTGCACGAATTCCAGGTTCTTCCTCTTGAGCAAGTTGTCTCGCCAGTTCTGCATCACTTTCAAGAGTACTGTTAGTATCTGCGGCCTCTTCTCCTGATACTTGTGAATTGTTTTCAAGAGGTGTAGCAGGATTGGACTCTCTTGTTTCAAGGTAAAGGGTGATTGCCAGTTCAAGGTTTCCGCTCGTCATCTTTACAAACGTAACGAAGATAAAGAATTAGAAAAAAAAGAATAATGACGATAAAGGGTAGAAACCAAAACCCTCTAGAAAGTTAGAATTCCCACATGGAGGTACCTCTAGGAAGGACGTTGCGGCGTCCCGGGGCGCGTCCGTAATAGCAATGAACTGTGTTATCTTATCCATATCTATTAATCTTTAAATCCTCTATTAAAGTGTAGGTGTCCTAACGAGCGAGAATTGTTAAATTACAAAGGCAGTCCTCTGCTTTTATTTACTTACGGAGTGTATACGTAAGTTGGCTGTACGTCATGATCCACCATCACGGTGTTAATAGAAAAACGATCGATTACGTATGTAAGTGCGTACGTATGCACAAAAACTTTCTGTACACCAATGGTGCGATGGTATTGCAAGTGTGTGTAAAAATATAAAAAATCACTGTCACGCACGTATTTAGGAAATTCCAATTGCATCGACTAGCAAATTGACGTTGCACGTAATAAATCCGGGATTTTCTTTATTATGACAAGTAAATAACATGGTGAAGACAAATTAAAAGTTATATCTATTTCCAGATTCAATCCGTAATTTTCAAAAGTCCTTGCTCATGAAATTTTGTGCATGAGAATTCTTTTAGGAGAAAAAATATATAAAAAAAAAAAGTATAGAGAAAAATGCCAAAGAAAATGAGATAAACTTAAATTAATTAATGGTTTCAAATATTTAACGTCTTTTACTGATCTTCATTCGACGGTCACCTGAGATAAATAAAAGGTTTCATTAATTCGGATCTATATATATAATAATAATGTGGTGGGTTTAATGACAGATAATAGATAAAGGACTTACAGATTTTGCCAAATTTCTTGGGAAATCAACATCGATGCCGTGCAATACAGCCAAATGATATGACAACAATTGAAGAGGAATAATTGTAATAAGTCCTTGTAAACAATCAACGGTCTGAGGGACACGGATTTTCTTGTATTGAACTGATATACCCTCATCTCCGTCATTACAGATGATGATAGGTTGGCCTTTACGAGCCGTAACTTGTTCGAGAGCGCTTTGCACTTTCTATTTATCATAAATAAATCCTTCAACACGGTCTGAAAGAAAAATTTTAGGAAAAACGAATGCGATTAGTTGAAGTTGACGATTTACCGGATATAAAGAGTCCTTGGTCATGATCAGAATAACAGGCATGTTCTCGTCGATGAGAGCCAAAGGTCCATGTTTTAATTCACCGGCCAGAATACCTTCAGAGTGCATATAAGACACTTCTTTAATCTTCAATGCACCTTCTAGGCATGTAGCGTTCTGAAAGCCTCGTCCCATAATCAATAAACTCTTCTCTTTGTATAATACATCCTTAGCCAGCTGTTGTAATTCTTTGTCAAGAGCAAGCACTTGTTTAATATATTGCGGTAACTTGTGGAGTTCGTCAATGATGTCATTTCGTCTTTGCGTCATAGATATACGGTCTTCGCTCAATTGTATGGCCATCATCACCAAAGAGATGAATTGCGAGGTGTATGCCTAGCGATGCGAATTTTGATTATCACAGAGAAAAATGTGAAAATATAGATTACTAATAGTGTCTACCTTTGTGGAAGCAACACCAATTTCGGGACCGGCGTTAATATGAACACCACAATGGGTTTCACGTGAAATGGTGGAACCGACAGTATTGGTAATTCCAAGGCAAAGAGCGCCTCGTTCAAGGCAATATCGAGGTTATGATTCCGCAGGGTTGGCTATTGACGGCGACGAGTCAGAAGAAGTTCTCATCTACAAACAAGTCGACA